TTTATGGATGCTGGTGTGGTTGCTCGTTGATTTTGGTCTGTCGAATTTGTCTTTTTCGACCTCTTTGGCGGGTCGAGTATATTCATTTTGCTCGAGCAAGTTGTTTATGGATGCTGGTGTGGTTGCTCGTTGATTTTGGTCTGTCGAATTTGTCTTTTTCGACCTCTTTGGCGGGTCGAGTATATTCATTTTGCTCGAGCAGGTTGTTTATGGATGCTGGTGTGGTTGCTCGTTGATTTTGGTCTGTCGAATTTGTCTTTTTCAACCTCTTTGGCGGGTCGAGTATATTCATTTTGCTCGAGCAGGTTGTTTATGGATACTGGTGTGGTTGCTCGTTGATTTTGGTCTGTCGATTTTGTCTTTTTCGACCTCTTTGGCGGGTCGAGTATATACACAGGTTGTATATTCATTATAGCTCGAGCGGGGTAGGTCGAGGATTTCATTCAGAGCAATTCACGAAATCAGGTTGCTTGGGTTTTGAGACGATATACAATAGGCTTAAATTTAAATTTTGAACTGGGGGGCGATAGGAAGGGGTGGTCTAAGAGAGCTCGAGCAGGATGATCGAAACGCAACAGGCATAAGTTCAAATTTTCAAATTCAAGACTTCAGGGAGTGGCTATTCAGTTCTTGTTTTTCGACCTCCACGGTCTCGACCCTCGGTTTTCGACCTCCGCGGTCTCGACATCTCGGTTTTCGACCTCCACGGTCTCGGTCTCGACGCTCGGTTTTCGACCTCCACAGTCTCGACGCTCGGTTTTCGACCTCCACGGTCTCGACGCTCAGTTTTCGACCTCCACGCTCGGTTTTCGACCTCCACGGTCTCGACGCTCGGTTTTCGACCTCCGCGGTCTCGACGCTCGGTTTTCGACCTCCGCGGTCTCGACTCTCGGTTTTCGACCTCCACGGTCTCGACGCTCAGTTTTCTACCTCCACGATCTCGACGCTCGGTTTTCGACCTCCACGATCTCGACTCTCGGTTTTCGACCTCCACGGTCTCCACGCTCGGTTTTCGACCTCCACGGTCTCCACGCTCAGTTTTCGACCTCGACGCTTGGTTTTCGACCTCCGCGGTCTCGACGCTCGGTTTTCGACCTCCGCGGTCTCGAGTCTCGGTTTTCGGCCTCCAAGGTCTCGACGCTTGGTTTTCGACCTCCACGGTCTCGACGCTCGGTTTTCGACCTCCACAGTCTCGACGCTCGGTTTTCGACCTCCACGGTCTCGATGCTCGGTTTCCGACCTCCACGGTCTCAACGCTCGGTTTCCGACCTCCACGGTCTCGACTCTCGGTTTTCGACCTCCGCGGTCTCGACTCTCGGTCCAGGACCTCAGCAGTCTCGACTCTCGGTTTTCGACCTCCGCGGTCTCGACTCTCGGTTTTAGATCTCAGCGGTCTCTCAGTTTTCGGTTTTCAGTTTTGGGTCTCAGATCACTCGATGTTCGACCCGACGTCCGATCATTCGGTTCCCGACCTCCGTGGTCTTTTGTTTTTTTTATCTTGAAATCTCAATGCTCATTTGGAGGATATTTCGGTGATTATTCAATGGTCATTCGACTTCCGGTGCTCGATCTTAGTGGCAAGTGGAAGAAAACAGCTCGAAGAGGCATTTCACTCTTGGATCGAGTTATGCTTACTCGACCAGAGTGGGGGGACTAGATGATATAAGATATTATACTGGACCCGGTTTATAGATAAAGCGGATACATATTGGAGGATAAGCCCACTAAGACATCTAAGCCCAACTTGGGCCTAAAAGGTACACTCCCCCTATAAAAGGGGGCCAAGGTACCTCACTCACTCATTCTCTCCTCATTACATTACTACACTTTCTCTCTCTTGATCTGAGCACTGACTTAGGCATCAGAGGCCCAACGCCGGGGTCACCCCCGGCGTTGGGTTCTGCAGGTACGAAGGCCAGTTCGAGTTGAAGGAGCCCGGGTGAATCTTATTCACTTCAAGCGTGAAGAAGATTCGAGATCTACTTTGCGGCGAAGACCAAGGATTCGTGTTCTTCGCGTTCTTGGGATATTTTGACGTTTGATTCGGGAAAAAGCTTTCAAGCCCTCAGATTACGTTAATTCTAGTCAAGGAGAAGATCAAGCCGAAGATTTCGCTACAAGACTTAAAATATTTTTTGTAAGAAGAATCAGAGGAATAATAGAGATTGTAACCCGTTATATTATTTTAATTGGAGAAATTCATTTGAATAATATTTTTCGTGTTTTTAAATTCAATACACGAAATTTGTTGTTACAAATTTTTGGCACGCCCAGTTGGACATCTCTACCTCTCATCTCTTCTCCAAAGTTCCTCAAGTCATCATAACTAGCCGCAAGATTGCCGTAGTCAAGATTCCCTCAACAAGTTCCAACCTCGGCGTCGTTACAAGAAGCATGGCCAAGCAACTGCAAGTATCTTCGGAGACGACTCCTTTGCACGAGGTGATTGGAAGTGATAAGCTGCATCTTACCCACGAACATGATGAAGACGACTCTGCTTCTTCAACTCCTCGTTCATCATCAAGTTCTTCATCAAATTCGAGCATCGCTCCGGCTATGACGACCAATGCTTCAACTCTTGAAGAGCACATCACAAGCTTAACGAAGGTTATTGAAGGGCTCGCGAAGAAGGTCGAAGAGCAAGACTCTCAAATCTCAAAGCTAATTGACAAGGTCGACAATGCTGAAATAAGCCACGCAAAGGGAAAACGAACTGAAGATCGTGAAGAGTCCGAGACGTCCAAGCAAGAGCAATATGACGAAAGAGAGAAGACTCCATTCCAACATTCGTCCACGGGAATGATCCCTATTGATCAACTGAAGGATTTCATCATGGGAACAATTAAGGACAAACTTGATTGTGGTTCCAAGTCAACCCACATCTACGTCAAGACATATTGACCAAGGATCGATAACTTGAGGATGCCTGTTGGATATCAACCTCCCAAGTTCCAGTAGTTTGATGGCAAAGGCAACCCGAAACAACATATAGCCTATTTTTTGAGACATGCAACGATGCGGGAACCCATGGTGATTATCTCGTGAAGCAGTTTGTTTGTTCACTTAAAGGGGTTGCATTCAACTGGTCGATAGCTTGGAGCAAATGGAGCACGAATTCCTTAGTCGCTTTTACAACATGAGACGTACGGTCAGCATGATTGAGCTCACTACATCTCGATAATGGAAGGAGGAGCCAGTCATCGACTACATCAATAGGTGGAGGATCTTAAGTCTGAATTGCAAGGATCGTCTGTCTGAGGCTTCTTCCATTGAGATGTGCATTCAAGGTATGAGTTGGGGTCTTCGTTACATCCTTCAAGGTATTCGGTCAAAAACATTCGAAGAGTTAGCGACTCGAGCCCACGACATGGAGCTAAGCATGGCTGTAAGTGGAGCTAATGGTCCTCCAATCCAAGAACTCTAAAGCTCCAAGGATATATATGAGCAAAGGAAAGGAGGCAAATCTTCCTCAAAATCTCAAAATAAGGAGTCCATGACGATCAATGCTATGCCTGTCAAGTTCAAAGGAAAAGCTGTTGATAAAGCCGTTGAAAAGGAGGATGTCCCCAAGGAAATTGAACAAAGAAGATTGACTCTAAAAGAAATGCAAGCAAAGTAGTACCCGTTCTTTGATTCAGACGTCTCTGGCATATTTGACGATCTAATGGAAGCGAAGCTTATTGAGTTACCCGAGATGAAGCATCCTGAAGAAGCCGGTAAGGTGAACGACCCAAAATATTGCAAATACCACCATCTCGTAGGACATCCAATTCATGATTGCTTCGTATTCAAGGACAAGGTTATGCAGCTGACACGACAAGGAAAAATCTCACTAGAAGAAAGTAGTGCAACTGTTAATTATACAAGCGAAGCTTGCAACATGACAAATGAGCACGAAGCTCCGCTAGAAGAAAACAATCTGTCTGAGGTTGAAAATCCCCATGTTGGTAATGATTCCATGATGGTCTTTACTGATGAAGACCTGCTGCTTGGTTCTAAGCCTCACAATAGACCCTTGTTCGTGGCCGGATATGTGCAAGAGCAAAAGCTTAATCGAATATTGATTGATGGAGGATCAGCAGTCAACATCTTGCCTCTTCGCACGCTGAAAGAGTTAGGAATGACTACGGAAGAACTTGGTAATAGTCGACTGATGATTCAAGGCTTTAACCAAGGGGGACAAAGAGCTCTTGGCATCATAAGGTTGAAGTTGTTGATGGAAGATATGGAATCAACCGCAATGTTCCATGTTATCGACGCAAAGACTTCTTACAACATGCTTCTTGGTCGTCCATGGCTTCATGAGAATGGCATGGTTCTGTCAAAATGGCATCAATGCTTCAAATATTGCAAAAATGGCATTGTGAAGACCGTGCTTGGTGATGATAAACCTTTTACGGAGGCTGAAACTCATTTCGCTGATGCCAAATATTATTTCAATGATGCAAAACCAGTTGAGAAACTCCCGTCCAAGCAGCATAAAGGGTCTGAAAGTTAAGAACCAAGGATTGAAAAGATAGAAAACGCTTTAAAAGAGTTAATGTTGCCGCTGCCGAAGATAAATGACGAAAAACCTATCTTCCAACCATCTACGAAGTTTGTTTGTCCAAGCAACAGAGCCGTAACGGAGAATGGTGAAAGATTGAAGAACTCAGAGTTTTGATCCAAAAGTCTACATGCTTCTCGTCAAATCAGGATACAACCCCAATGAAAGTCGCTCTTTGGAAAAGCTCATACCTCAAGAGCAAAAGCACAACTGGGCAGGTCTTGGTTATGTGGTACCGAGTCCAATTAGAATCGCCATCAAGAGAGCAAACACAAATCATGTCTCGGAAGGAGAAGTCTCATCCACCGATGTCATAAACAAAGGGCAAAGGGTGTCGGTGTTTCAAAGACTCGGTCCAGTTTGGAAGTCTAAGGGCAAACATTCTGTGTTTCAATGACTTGGATCCTTCAAGCAGTCAAAGCCTTTAAGACAAGAAAAAGGTGCAGGTCCAGCTCTAAAGCTTAGAAGTCTAATTCCATCACGTATGAAGCGTCAAACCACCTTGACCATATCATGTGGGGAGGTTTTAAAAGCCAAAATGCACACGATCATTCATACAAGAGTGCATGACGATGAAGTCGAGGATAGAGAAAGTGTCAATTCGTCTTACTATGCTTGCGGTACTCTTACTACTCCTCGAGATGATGAACGTTCTCTTTACCGAATGATAGCTTATTTGGTGAGAAAAGGGTATATCACTGGAGTTGATGAAAATGTGCAGACACGACTTGTCACGGGAAGAAATTGACGTGTGAGAGCATTTATTGACTTCAAAACTCTTAGTGAGTCGGGTGAGGATATTGCTCCCGTGAACCATATCACTATATGCGAAGATATTCTGATAGAAGAAGAAGATGCCGAAGACGCACCTCCCGAGCATGAAGAAAGTGTTAAGGCCACGGTCGATGAACTAAAGAAAATCAACTTGGGCGATGCTGACGATCCTCGCCCGACGTACATCAGTGCCTTGCTAACTGTAGCTGAAGAGAAGGCTTACATAGAGCTTCTTGGTGAGTTTAAGGATGTATTCGCATGGTCGTATAAAGAGATGCCTGGACTAGAACCAAAGGTGGCGGTGCATACCTTGTCCGTTAGAAATGGGGCAAAACCTGTTAAACAAGCACAGTGGAGATTCCGACCTGAGTTGATCCCATTGATTGAAGTTGAATTGAATAAACTCATTGAATTTGGTTTCATTCGAGAAGTCAAATATCCTACGTGGATCTCGAACATCGTTCCGGTTAGGAAGAAAAATGGCCAAATTCGAGTGTGCGTGGATTTTCGAGACCTTAACGAGGCATGTCCCAAGGACGACTTCTCGTTGCCTATAACTGAACTTATGATCGATGCTATGACTGGCCATGAAGCGTTATCTTTTATGGATGGTTCGTCAGGATACAACCAAATACGTATGTCGCCAAAAGATGAAGAGTTGACGGCCTTCCGAACTCCAAAAGGAATATACTACTATAAGGTAATGGCATTCGGGTTGAAGAACGCTGGAGCTACGTATCAAAGGGCAATGCAAAAAATATTTGATGACATACTCCACAAGAAAATCGAGTGTTATGTTGATAATGTGGTGGTAAAGTCGAAAAAGTGAGAAGACCACTTACAAGATTTAAGGATGGTTTTTGAACGCCTAAGAAGATATCAACTCAAGATGAATCCGCTGAAGTGTGAATTTGGTGTCAAGTCAGGGAAGTTTCTCGGGTTCATTATTCGTCACCGTGGACTAGAGATCGAGCAAGCAAAAGTTGACGCAATACTAAGAATGCCTGAGCCTCGCAACATTCACGAGCTTAAAAGTCTGCAAGGGAAGTTGGCATATCTTCGAAGGTTCATCTCAAATCTAGTCGGACGATGCCAGCCTTTTAGTCATCTAATGAAGAAAGGTGTTCCTTTTGAGTGGGATCAATCTTGTACAAATGCTTTCAAAAGCATAAAGGCATATTTGATGAAGTCTCCTATGTTAGTCGCACCGGTGTCTGGTCGTCCTCTTATTATCTATATAGCAGCACAAGAATGCTCTGTTGGAGCCTTACTGGCTCAAGAAAATGACGATGTAAAGGAGAGTGTGTTATATTATTTAAGCAAAACAATGACACAGAACGAGCTGAACTATTCACCGATTGAGAAAATATATTTGGCACTAATCTTTGCAATTCAGAAGTTGAAACATTATTTTCAAGCTCATACGGTTCGTCTTGTTTCAAGGGAAAATCCATTGAAATATGTCATGACAAGACCCGTCCTCTCAGACCATTTAGCTAGGTGGTATCTTCAACTGCAACAGTTTGAAATTGTCTACATCCCTCAAAAGGCTGTAAAAGGACAGGTTCTGGCGAACTTCTTAGCTAATCACTCTATTCCTGCTGAGTGGGAGTTGTCCGATGAACTACCCGATGAAGATGTTCTTCTCATTGAAATTACTCCACCTTGGAAGATGTACTTTGATGGAGCGTCCCATAGAGAAGGAGCTGGTGCTAGAGTCGTCTTTGTGACATCCCATGGAGAAGTGCTTCTGTATTCCTTCACATTGACTGAAAATTGCTCAAACATCATTGCAAAGTATCAAGCTCTAATTCTAGGGTTGGAGATGGCCGTGGACATGAAGCAACTGCATATAAAGGTCTGTGGCGATTCAAAGCTAGTGGTTAACCAACTACTTGGAGAATACGATGTAAAGAAGCCTGAGTTGCTCCCATATGTCGAATATGCGAAAAGGCTCATGGGATGGCTTGGAGATGTTACGATCGAACATGTGTCGATAAAGAATAATAAACAAGCTGATGCTTTGGCAAAACTCGCTTCTTCACTCATTCTCCCCGAGGATAGGGCTCGAGTGCAAATTTGTAGAAGTTGGGTTATACCTCCGATTTTCAACGATGATGATTGGAATGAAGATGAAATTCATATGGTTGAAGTATTTGGAATTGAAAAGGAAGATTGGTGTCAATTGTTCGTGGATTACTTGAAGTATGACATGTTGCCCAACGATCCACGACAAAGGGTTGATATTCGACGTCGTGCACCTCGCTTCATTTATTTTAATGATGTGTTATATAGACGATCGTTCGATGGAGTGTTCTTGAGATGCTTAGGCGACGAAGAAGCTGCTCAAGCCAATGAAGAAGCTCACTCGGGCATCTGTGGCGCTCATCAGTCTAGTCCGAAGATACACTATCGAATTAAGAAAATGGAATACTACTGGCCGACAATGGTTAGAGACTGCATAGATTATGCCCAAAGATGTCAAGCGTGTCAATTTCATGCAAAGTTGATCCATCAGCCTCCTGAGCCGTTGTACCCTACTGTCGCTTCATAGCCTTTTGATGCTTGGGAATTAGATGTGGTCGGTCCTCTCACAAAGTCTTCAAGTGGTCATCTTTATATTTTGGTTGTGACCGACTACTTCTTAAAATGAGTTGAAGCAGTTCCCTTGAAAGAAGTGAAGAAAGAAAACGTTGCTGACTTTATTCGGGTGAACATCATCTACCGGTATGGAATTCCACGGTGCATAATAACGAATAATGAGAAGCCTTTCAGCAACAGCTTGATTGATAAGCTTTGCGAGAAGTTCAACTTTAAGCAAAGAAAATCTTTCATGTATAATGCTGCAGCTAATGGACTTGCTGAAGCGTTCAATAAGACTTTATGTTGTCTTTTGAAGAAAGTCGTAGCCAAGTCAAAGAAGGATTGACACGAAAGAATTCATGAAGCGCTTTGGGCGTATTGCACCACATATCGGACTCCCACTCAAGCGACTCCGTACTCGCTGGTATATGGTGTTGAAGTTGTCGTTCCTCTCGAACAACAAATCCCATAATTGAGAATCGCCATACAAGAAGGGTTGACCAAGGAAGATAATGCACGACTGTGTTCTCAGGAATTTGAAGCTCTTGATGAGAGGAGGTTGGAAGCGCAACAAAGACTTGAATGTTATCAAGCTCGTCTCTCAAAATCGTTTAATAAGAAGGTCCGAGCTCGTTCTTTTCAAGTAGGAGATTTGGTACTTGTTGTGAGAAGACCCATCATAACCACTCATCGTGCTGGAAACAAGTTCGTGTCAAGAAGGGATGGACCATATGTCGTCACAGAGGTTTACACCAATGGCGCGTACAAGCTGATTTTGGAGGATCGAGTCACGATTGGCCCTATCAATGGGAAATTCTTGAAGCGCTACTCTTAGTTGTATTTTGTGTTTATAAAAAAAAAAGAGAGAACTCCTTACCCGCATGAGTATAAACTGTGAACGGTAATCACCAAAAAGCTTTGCATGTGATTAACTGCTAAATTCTCCACCAATGTGAATATATGTGGTTAAACTGTTAATTCTCCCACTAAGGTGTCATGTGGTTAAACCTAATACTCTACTTTGTCTAAAGTAGTTAAAGAATAGTCACTCCTGGCCCGCATGAGTATAAACTGTGCAAGACAGCCCCCCCTCCCGCCATAAACAAATTCATGTTGATGTTACTTTGAACTACGTTATGACTTGATCCTTTTAAAGGTACGTAGGAAGCTTAGATATTTTCTAAGTTCAGTCGTGAATTATATTCGTCTTCTAATTTAGTCAACTTTGATTGATTTGGCGAAGAAATGAAGTGCAACTAATGCTAATGATTGAGATTGCCTGATGTGAAGAGAAACAAATCATTCTATTCCATAACTTTGAGTCTTATTACATGAAGAAATGAACAACAGAGTCGCAAACATGCCTAAGCAAAAGGGTTCAAACTTCCTAGCTTCTCTTTAGTCGCCTTCAAATTTGACTTCAACGTCTTCAACTGTTCAGCCACTTCTTCGTCCAACGG